GTAGTAGGTTGGCAACCTACATGTGCATACAACACCACCAGAGCATATAAGTAAGTAGAAACAGAGCTAGGGCTCAGTAGGTTGGCAACCTACAGGGCCAACAGAGATTGTGAAAGGGCAGATGCAGATCTAAGACGAATCTAGGAGGTAGTAGGTTGGCACATGTGCATACAACACCACCAGAGCATATAAGTAAGCAGAAACAGAGCTAGGGCTCAGTAGGTTTGCAACCTACAGGGCCAAGAGAGCATGTGAATGGGCAGATGCAGATCTAAGACACATCTAGCATGTAGCAGGCTGGCAACCTACATGTGCATACAAAACCACCAGAGCATGTAAGTAAGTAAAAACAGAGCTGGGGCTCAGTAGGTAGCTCGGGCTCAGTAGGTTGGCAACCTACAGGGCCAGCAGAGCATATCAATGGACAGATGCAGATCTAAGACGAATCTAGGATGTAGTAGGTTGGCAACCTACATGTGCATACAACACCACCAGAGCATATAAGTAATTTGAAACAGAGCTAGGGCTCAGTAGGCTGGCAACCTACAGGGCCAACAGAGCATGTGAATGGGCAGGTGCAGATCTAAGACGAATCTAGGAGGGCCAACAGAGCATGTGAATGGGCAGATGCAGATCGAAGGCGAATCTAGGATGTCGTAGTTTGACAACCTACAACACCAGCAGTGTGCTAGGGCTATGTAGGTTGGCTACCTTCAGCGGCAAGCGACCCCATCAATGGGGTAGACCCTACTTGTAGGAGCTACTAGTAGCGTCCTTGCTCCTAGTAGCGATACCAGGAGCCCCTCGTAGCTTCTTGTTTCTAGGAACAGTAAGGCCATGGATTGAGAATCTGACAAAATCATCAGACTGGATCTCCGTTTTTGTAGCTTCCCAATGTCCCCAGCGAGGTGGACGGGTCCCCCCAAACCCTCCTGGCCACCGGGTCCCCCCGGCGACCAGGTGGGGGACTTGGAGGGTGTGCTGGCGGCCATCGAGACCTATGCCTCGGGGCGCAAGTGGCTGAAGGCGTTCGGCGGGAACACGGCGAGACACCGGGGGGATGGGTCGCTTAAGGGCGTTGAAGACTGGGAGGTGAAGCACAAGGTGTGCTTGAAGACCCGGGGCTGACTCCAATTCCGAGATGGACTGAGTCCGTTCCTGGTGCGTTCCTGGTGGGTGCCAGATGGAAACGCCCCATCGTCCGGCCACTTCGTCCGGTCGGATTTCGCCCGTCTGCCCGAGCCGAGCCATGTCGACGCGCCCATTTGGCAAAGCCCGTTCACTCGTTTCGAGCGGCACGTCTTGCTTTCCACCGGCTGGACATCGCACCATGGCATATCAGTCAGACTTCCAGATTAACAGTGTATATAATTAGATGGCAGGCATTAATTTGGTATAGATCTGAATGTTTTGAATATACCAAATGCTGTCAGTCTTCACCCACCCAGGTGGCCGGTGGGCGCAAGGCTTCGCTCTTGCAGGATGGGTCGGGTCGGCCGGTGGCAGGTGGTGGTGCGTCGGTTCGCCGTGTTTGGAGGCGAAAAAGAAGCCTGCGAGAGAGAGAGAGAGAGATTCCTTCGTGATTGGAGGGGGAGGTTGGAAGATGGACCCGTTGGACACGTTTTGGACCCCCGAAACCAGGTTTTGGAAGGTTCCAGTCATTGTGAGATGCCGACCTAACAGGATCGCAGAAGCGATGACGGCAGGTTTTTACTTTCTTTTTGCTGGGTTTCCGTGTACAGTCACAATATGGCGAGTTTCTCACACTTCTCATATATTACACCAGCAGGCTGTCATGGGGTAAGGAGTGAGTCAATCGAATCTTGTAACTTGGTCACCGTTTCCCCACTTACCCTTCGCCTCTTCCTGAGGCGACACGCGGACGCGACGCCTGTGATGCACATTTGGAACTGGTGCCAAGAACCGTTTTTTTGCAGGTTCGCGTTCAAGGGTCGAAGAGAAAAACCACCACAGGTCTTCGTCCATCGCTTCGTCACTCTGGGTCCATCCGTGACCACTGAACACACCCACCCGGTCGTTCGTGCCAGGGGAGCCTGCTGCCGGGCGACCGCATTGTGGAGTTCGGCACGTGCGGTGTTCGTTCGTGTTCGTTGGGCAGTCGAAAGGGGGGGTGGGGAGAGGCATGAGGTGATGCGAGTTGTAGAGAACGGTGTGGGCCAGGGCCGCCAGGGCCCCCGGTTTGGGGTGGTTCATGGACACCCCCCCCTCTAAGGAACTATTTTTTCGATACCGAGAGAGTCCACGCTGGGAGAGCAGCAGACGAGGAAGTACTGGGCTGAAAGGCGTGGGTTCGAATCCTGGACCCTTCTGGAAAAGGGAACTAGACCAAAAGCCACTGGTTGCAGGGGACCTCTCTAATGCACTCAGAACTGGAACTCCCCTCACCCCACCCAAATGAATTCTAGCGGACAGACCGCCCCTGCCTTGTTGGCAGACACCCCACGCCGCCTCCCCCTTCCGTTCGGACTCCAAGGCCCGGCACGCCGAAAGGATCCGACTCGGCGATCGAGGTCCGGGCGGTCCGCCGGTAGAGGTCCGGGGGGACCATATCTCGGCAGGCCCAGGAAACGCAGTGCATCATGATGGTTACTGGGAACAAGCCAAGAGTCGTGAAGTTGAACAGTACTGTGCGTGGAGATCGGAGAGCCCCCTGATGGCGGTCCACGATGGCGAGCCCCTGGCAAAGTGGATGAATGGGTGGCGCTTGGCAGCCACAGCCCCAAAAGGAAGCAGACGAACCAGGGTGGTGGTGTTCTGCCTGTTTTTTCCCCCTTCAGACTTCAGAAAGTGGAGCACACGGCTTTTTCAGCTTCGCCACTGCTCACTACTCCTCCACTCCTCCACGTCGGAGCTCCAAGCGCTCCGTCGAGGGCGGTGCCCGGGAGGTACATGGGCTACTCCGCGCTGTTGATGGCCCAGCAGCTCCGAACGCTAGGCCAGCGGGCCTCCGTGGGGACTTGGTGGGCCCGAGAGGGGGGCCGGGCGGGGCGGGGAGGAGGGTGGCCACTGGAGCCCTCAAACCACAATGAGCAAAGGAGATGACATGGTTTTTTTGCCTGTACAAGGATGCGGCATGCATCTTGCCATGATCGGCTTGGTGACTTTTTGGACGAATCAAAGCACCAAGATGGTATAAGGAGACATGTTTATGTATACACTACAGTTATATATATATATATTTTATGATATATTATATTCATCCAAGATCGCGGCAGCCAATCTGGCCCAAAAACAGTTCCACCCACGTCCAAAGCATGATGATTGCACCGTGCCCG